CTTCTTTGGCTCTGGTTGTTGGTGCATATATCTGAATGATAGATAGTGGTGTTCACTGGACTTCCTTGTAAGTGTATGCATATAACCCTGTCACTCACAATGTTGTATTTCAAGATGGATCTGGAGAACAATGAATAAATGAAAATCCAACCTCTCTGTAAACTTCCGTCAAAGTCACAATTAAAAAAATTATAAAAACCAAACTAAAGAGTTGGAAACAACCTAAGAGCCCATCAACAAATGAATGGCTAGAGAAGCTGTGGTACAGTCACACAAAGGAATACTATGCCGCATTGGGAAAAAAAGGAACTCATGAAACAGTATACAAAATGCATAACCATGGGGGACATTATGCTGAGTGAAATATCTCAGTCACAAAAGGACAAATACTGCATAGTGCCACTGCTGTAAAACAGCACTGACATCAGAGTTGGAGGGAGACTGAGAAAGATGGGATAAATTATGTATTCTCTACTGAAAGAGATGTGAGAGAGAACTGTTTAAACAGGATATATGATTAGGTATTACTATCATGGCAGGAGTCCAGAATGAATGCTGCATAGTGGAGTAGACTTGGGGGGAGGGATTGTATATAACAATGAAAGACTTTTACTTTTCAAAGAGAAGTGTGAACTGCAGGGGAGGTTGGGCAGGGAGAAAAGTGCATCAACGAATGAATGGAAAACCAAAGTCTCTGTAAACTTTCATTAAAATAAAAAACAAAACAAAAACAACACCCCAAACTAAAAAAAATCAATTTAAAAAGAAAGTTTCAGCAGTCACACTGAATCAGCAGCATTTCACATATTAAAATCGAGTCTACACCTTGGTCAAATCCTGGCAGTTCTGTTGTGAGGTGCCATTGAGTCAACTCCAACTCTTGGGGATATACAACAGGAAGAAAAACTGCCTGATTCTGTACTATCTTAATAAGCTGTGCTTAAATCCATTGTTGCAGTTGTTTTGTTCCTGCAGTAATTAGCAATTACCAATTGACTGGATTTGTACAGAGAAGGGAGGAGATCTGTAATACCCTCCAAGTCAGAAATTACTCCGATCTGATCCTCCAATCAAGTTTTAGTGGCAATAAATCACATGAGATTGTCTATCTTTTTGCCTCAAAACAGGCGGTGGATTCAAACCATGTGCCGTTGGGTTGGCAGTATAACTAAAGTCTTATTACACAGCTCTCCCTTAAATATTAAAACCCTGTACAAAGGACAGTGAGCATATGGAAAATATTTCTAGAATTCTTCAGTGGCTTGAGGATAAAGGCAAGTACGATATTTTTAAGGTAAAGAAAAGAAGAGTCCAAGAGTGACCTTGGGAAGACACAGTCTGTAGGAAACTAGTCTGACAGTCTGTAGGAAACTCTTGGAAAAAACCTCCAAAATTATCCTGAAATTCTAGCATGGAAAAGGGAATGCTGTTTCCATGGATCCCTGCCATTGCGTGCTAGTATCTGCACCAAGAGAATTCCGGAGATCACTATCTGAGGCCTCATTTTCATGGTTCTTTTTTGAATATGTTCCATTCCTACAAGGCTTGTGTGGAAAAAGTAAACTAAGTCATTGGATTTTATCAGCAATTCACCACTGCTCAGTAAAGTGGCATACACCCAGAACACACAACTGATTTTCAACAACTACCAGAATCCAGTAAGGTTTGGCTGCAGTCTGTGTTTTTGTTCTGTTCAAAATTTCTTACAGTAAATGTAAGAATGTTGAATTGTTTTTTATATTTAGAAAACACATTGGTTTATACGTTATCCTTTCCCTCTTTGCCTCACAACTCCCACCCTACAAATCTGTTTGAGATTGTAGGCTAAAGTCAGAAATTCAAACTGGTTAATAATATCTGAGCGAAAAGATACTTCTAAAACATGGCATTTGAAATAAAGGAGTGATCGTTATGGTAGAAATGCTGGTTTTCCTTAAGATACTACGCAGAGTCATTTTAGCCAACACTAGTGACAAAGTAGTTGTGACAAAGGCCTAGGATGATTAATGAGCATCATTAATAATCAGCTTGTCTAGCCCAATGTCTTTTTCTCAGTTAAGGGTAAATGTAATTTTCAACTGTTTCATGGAAATGGAATTCCAATATTATTTCATGTGAGTTCTCTAGCTAATAACCTATATTCATTTATTACAAAAAATATCTCACACATCATTAAAACGTCAGTATTATATTGATAATAAAACTTGAAAGAACTGAAGAGTACAAACTGTTCACAAATTTATTATATAAAATACCCCCAAATATTTGATTTTCCTGTTCTCCCTTTCAGAACAAAGAAGTACAATGGAAGAAAGGCCCTGTAAGACTAGAGTTTCTTGAGGGATCCTGGCATCAAAGTAGTACATATACCTTAACAGTGTTCTAAAGGCTGGCTCACAAGAAATCTATTATCATAACAGAGAAATCATGGTCTTCTTTCCCCACCAAATTATGGTGAATTGTTACTGTTTTATTTAGCATATGGTATATAACAGTTCAATCTCAATTACTAAAATAATTTCTTAAAATAACCCTCAAAGATATCTTGTTCCCTTCAATGATCTGTAGGTTATACTTTCTTGCTAATCTCAAACAAATCATGAGGTTAAAACAACTGAAAAGGCACAAGCTCAGAATAGCTGTAGCTTGTAGCAAAAAGATATATCAGTTATGTCTCTTCTTAGTTAAAAAATACATAATCCTTTTATTTTAGATTGCAATAAAAGAAATAAACATCACAGACACAGAAGAGTAGGAAAGGGGAAACTACTTACTCCTGAATATTCAGTAATTTAAACCTATTTGTACTTTTCTGTAGTACATGAGTAAACTCCAACACATTTTTCTCTTTGGGGATATACAATGTATATACGTCTTAGGAGTAAAGGTTCCATTCAGTCCCAGGTTTGCTCACTGTACGATTAAGTCAACCAAGGCACAGCAGCTATCCTTTCCTCGTGGTGCAACACTGATCACGTGCCTTGAAAAAGAAATGGCTGATTAGACAAGATGAGGGCAACAGGAAGGGAAGACATGGGATTGTCTATTTAAAATCTGGGTAACAACAACAAAAACTCAATCAAACAAATAAAACCTACTTTAAGTGCACTTTCACATGCTTTTTGTTTATAATAAAGAACAAACATCTAACTTTCTAGCAATAGGCTTAATTAACCACCATTTGATTTGGCCAAATGCACTTTTCCCAGTAAATGTAAAACAACAACAAAATCCCTGTTTTTTCATATTCCATGAAAGAGGGCTGGCTAACGAAACAGTTCATTAGACACATGAAGACAACATAACTGTGGCATCAGGAGTCTTTAATTCGTTGTGCTGTTCCTAAAGTAAAGTTCTGAGGGCTCAAGTTCAACATTCCGAGTTCTCCCTTCCATCTTTATTGATACTCAAGAATTTGCACAGAAAACTCTTTAGGGGCTAGAACAGCAGAACAGCATCACACTGTTTCCAAGATTTCAAGTTTCAAAAGAAAATTATTAAAAATAAAACTAAAATACAGTTCCTGATTTGAGTTAGTTAGATACAGGGCAAAAAACCCCTCAAAACAAAACAAAATAGCACATACTTGAAGGTTACATAGTCTACACTTGGTGGCAATATTTTCCTTGGGAGAGTAATTTTGTTGGTATATATTTTTAAATACTTTAAAAGGCTCAACCTCAAGCAGTAATAAACACAAGCAAAAGTGATTTAACCCTTAAAATAAATATTCTGGAAAAATCTCTCTGTACATACAAGTGAAAGAATAAGTAGTACTTTCTCTCTCTCTCTCTCTCTCACACACACACACACACACACACACACACACACCCGTTCAAATAAGCAGCTGAAATGTGCTGTTCCAGCCTGGATGTCCCCAATGAAGAAGGGAAGCACAGAAACAGGTAACTAGTATGGTTCACTATCTCACAGCCTTTTTTTTTCCTTCCCCAAACTGGGACATTATCACCATAACGTCTCTCTCTCATCATATTTATTAAAATTTCTTTCCTCCCCCTTTCTTTTATTCTTTTTTTCTGATGTGTGTGTATGTTTTTGTTTTTATTTATCTTATTTTCCTTTTTTGTTTTACAGCATGCCAAATCCTTTGGCATATGTGATGGCCTTCAACAATCTCTCTTTAAGCTTTTCTTTGCTGGAGTATTCCGGAAGCAAAAGGACATTAAAGCAAGTATGAGATGTAGGTAACCTAAATAAGAGAGAAAGGGGAAAAGAGTAAGTCAAGGAAAACATTACCATTAAATGATCTTACTTTGTGACGGTATGTGCAGTTGAGATGAACTGCAGTAGTGACTATGCAAATCACATTACTATGCTTTTCACTTTGTAATCACCAAGTATCAGTTTATCATTATCCTATGAATTAGTTAATGTTGCAGTTGCTCCTCACTTTTACACTAAATTATTACTTTATAGCAGGTATTCTTTTAGGTGCAGCTCTTTTAACTAAATCTTCTCAGAAAACCTACCCAGTGAGAACTGGTATCTTTATTGGAATGTACAGGTGGGAAAGGATACAAATGGCAAAGATACACAATTTGGGACTCTAAGCTAGTGTCATATAATGCTGAGAAGATCATGAGCCTGAAGTCAACAATCATGTTTTATAATTTTGTCTTTAACATAGTAAGTAGTGAACCAAAAATGGAATGAACTCCACTGACCTTTAAAATTCCAAACCCCATAGTAATTTTTCAATATCCTATGCCTGAAAAAAATTCCTAAAACAATAAAAGCAAAATACTCTCTCAACTAATTTTTTAAGAGATTTAAAAATGACCACTGAAAGCCACAAGGACAGTTTCATGTGTATATAAAGGAATAAAAGGTAGTTTTTCACAATTACCTTTCTGTGTCTGGGCCATTTTTGGCTATGATCATCTTTAATTTTCCGAGTCCGCCCACTGGAGCTCTATCTGTACCAGTTGTAAACTGTAAGAAGAGTCTTTTCTGTTCATCAGAAAATGAATGCACAATTTCCCAGAACTCCCTAATGAGAAAAGATATAATAATTACTTTAGTTTTTAATATGTAAATACAACTACTTTTAAAATTTTATAAAAATTGTATTAGGAAACAATTTGGATATTAAGAACAAAATCACTGCAGATTTAATAACTACATTTATCTGATAGCTGATTTCCTTGTTGAATATCAGTTGATCATAGATAGCTGGGTCTATTTCTATGCAGCATGCAGGAGCAATGATTTTGTAAATTAGTACCTAACTTGGGAGGGACTGAAGAGCAGTATGATGAGTGAAGTAACTCAGTCCCACAGTATAAATATTGCATAAAACCATTATTGTAGAATGAGTATAAGGATCCAAGAGGGGTGAGAGAGGTTGGGAGCAGAGGGATGAGGACGTTCAGGGGGTATAGGGGATTAACCATGGGTTTATATAATTTGATGGAGAATTCAAAGAATTTGTTCTTGAAAACAATATATTCAAATTTTGTAAATAAATAAACTAGTAGAAAATAAAAAAACAAAACAAAAAACAACATTTATGGATACAGCCTAAGGAAAGAGTTCTAAATACAAATAAGCTTATGTTCATTGTTATATTAATTCTGTAAATACTGTAAATGGTTAATGTTTTAACAACAGGAAATAATTATGCAATCTATTGTATAAATAGTGAGTTCTGGTGGCTCAGTGGTAAGGAGTTGCACTGCCAATCCAAAGACAGGCAGTTCAAATACACCAGCTACTCCACAGGACAAAGATGGGCACTCTCTAAATCTATGATTTACTGCCTCT